AGGTGCACTTAACTGAAGGAAGAATGGGTTAAGGAAGGTTTAATGAGATGTTTTTAGATAAGTTGAATGTGAGATAGTAGATGTTTGGATATTGGATTATGGAGTTTAAGGAAAGGTCTGGAGAAAAGATCTTAAAGAAAAAGTCTTTATATTATCTCTGTAGAGAATCTGCAACCACATGTGTGAACAATATTCTCAATGAGCATTTAATGGGATTAAAAGAGCTTGCCAACTTGTTTTAAAAAGGGCATGCAGATTTTTTTCCTATAAAATCACTGCTGGATTATAAACTCACCAGGAAAGGGACTATATATTAAACCATTTGGAGCTCTGTGACAATTAGCATAGTGCCTTTGGGTGGTAGGTTCTCCAAAAATGTTTCAATAAGCTAATTAGTATCTCTTTCATTCCAAGAAAATTCATCATCTTTGATCCCACATGAAATTCAAGTCACTTTTGAGCTGGTGTTTCAGAGTTTCCGACTACTCCAAGTTGGGGATATATGAAGAAAAAAGGAAACCCAGGGAATTTACCACCATGTTGTTTTTCAGGTCCTTAGCTGCTCTACTATCTTCTCTCCACCTTTCAGAATCTTCTTATATTCATTTTATATATAACATCCAGGGCTTTTAGTTGTACTTACTGGCAGGAATAAGGGAAGGTACCTCTACACCATAAGTGGAAGTTCCAGAATGCTTCTTTTTAAATACATCAAATTTATGTATTTATGTTTATTTGAAAATAGAATAAAATGTGAATATTGAAATTATGAAAATTTACATATTCTGACATTAACAATTAGTATTTGTAATGACAACTTTAGAGACTTTCAAATGAAATGCACATTATAAAATTAGGGCTTCTGTTAGCAGTCAAATATGTGACAGACTAGAATTCAACATTTTATTTCAAATTGTAAATGATAACTTGCCTAGAAAAAATCACTAACATCCATTTTTCTGTAATAGAGGTAACATTTTTGTTTTGGATGCAATTATTGCTTTTGGAGTAATAGACACTGAATATAATAATAGACACTGAATAAAACTTCTGTTTTAAGTACACTGTCATTTTAATGTCACTCAATGATAAAGAATGCTTGGACCTGTAACAAAGGAAGAAGACAAAGAAATATAAAAAACAAACATTTTTGCTCTTACTGGAAATGACTAAAGATCATTTTATAGCAGATCGTGAATTAGCACATTCTAATAAAACTTGCTCCTGGCTGAACTGGCTAAATTTTTTTTTTTTAGAGCAAGATATCTTTAGAAGCTGTAGTTTATAAGATGCTTGTGTTCCTGAAAAGGTTATTCCAATAGAAAGGCTGCATCTTCACAAAAGGAAACAAAAATGAATATGTTCAAGTAAAAATGGTACAAGGGATGACTTGAAATGTTCATGTTCAATCATTGAAGCCAAATTTCTCAGAATCAAATTTACAGTTCTCAAACTTGGTCACAACTTACCCAGTTTTTTCTAAGATTGAGGTAAAAGAAAGTAACTATTTAACTGAAAAATAAAACAGCCAGGAAAACAAAATAAAACAAAAAACTTGAATGTTATGTGACTGTTTCTAGGGAATGAATAGGAAGGAGTCAATTTTTCCTGTCATGCCCACTCAGATGACTCATGTTTCCATTTCATTCTCTTTTTGTTATCTGAGATTTTAGGCTCACTTTTATTATAGCTACTTATAGCTCAGAATCTGTGTTGCATTATCCTGATAGCTAAAATTCCATTATGTATTCTAACCCCTCAAATTAGTTTTTGCTTATTCTTTCCTTTCATAAAAATCATTAAAATAATGTGGACATCGAGCTATGAATATAGCACAGAAATCTCCAAAACTATATAACTGATTATTCACTGAACTTCTGTTTGTACTATAAATATTAATATATTAGAAAATAATAAACTCAAAATTTTCAGGGATGATAATTTTTGATGCTAAAACTAGTTCTTATGGTAAATTTTCTTTTGATATCTTACATTTTATTTTAACCCAACAGCCTGTCATTTTATGGGTCATTTAAAATCATAATTATCAATAATCTCTAAGTGTATTTCCTGTGGCTAATGATACAAACATCTTTCTATTTCTTATGTTCAGACCATAATGTCTTATTTAGTAATATAAAAAGGCTTGTTTTCCCACTTACCTTAAAGCATGGTTCTAGAGAATGTGTCTTTGCAGCCTGATATTAATGATTTGATAGTTGCAAAGAATTGTATTATTAGGAGTTTGTCACTTAGGTAAATCTGTTGGTTTTATCATCTCATTTGATTTAACAATCAAATCCTTGTAACACTTTATTCTCTCTCCTCTATAATCTACCTTAATATCTTAGTTCTGCTTCTATGATTGGGTCTTGGCTGATAAAATAATCTTTACATCATCTCATACCTTCAAATATATTGGTTCTCAAATTCTAAGGTAAACTCAAGAAGCATCAGGGGTTCCTGCGAAACATGAGGATTACCAGTCTCCATCTTCAGAAATAAAATTCTGATTCACTGGGTCTGCTGTGCAGCCTAAGAATCTACATTTTCACAGGCATCAGGTTCAGGTGATGCAAGCACCAGGATTTGAACAAACACATTTGAAATGTATTTCACTGAAATCAAAGTTTTCTAATAATGGGATTTTTGTTTCCATTGCTGGTGGTATTAAAGCCAAATCTATTTGATTTCATCCAGCAAGCACTTGTAATTCACTTGATATGTTAGAAACATGCTCCAAGGTGGGAATGGATATCTAGATATCCAGTGAAATCATGGTATGCAGTGTAGAGAAGCATGTGTGTTGGGGTCTAATTAAATGCCGTTATACTTCTTTGTATTCCTCAATAGTAGCTTTCTGGCAATGCTTTGAGAAACCCTGTGATATTTTGGAGCAGGAGCAGGTATAAAGGAAAGTCCAAGTTAGTGAGACCTTATGATTCTGCAATTGCCTTCTGTAGGCTTCAGCCAGGGCAGTTTTTCTATTCTCTCTATATAGTTGGGATTTTCTTTTTCATGCGGTGTTTTTTTTTTTCTTTAAAGAAAATGTACTACATAACAAATATTTGAACATGAAAGTCTTCACCGTAATATAAGCACATTACTTTTTATATAAAACTTATTAACAAATATTGATTGAATGGACAATGAATATGTTGGTGCATATCTTACCACTAGAGAGTCCCAGTATTAAGGCAAATAGGTAACCAGAGACCATTTGCGATAACCCATTTATTTCATAGATGAACAAACCAAAGCCCAAAGATATTGAGTGAAGGTTTCACTGGTAATTTTTTTGGTAGATCTAGATTTAGTTTTCTAGTTCACTTCTCTTTCTATGTGTTATAACTGACATATTGTGAGAGAATTAATAAAATATTGGGTCTTCATAACATTCCAGGAAATTTTCAATATTTGTTATTTTTTTGTAATTATATTATCTTTAATATAATTACCTTGCTATATTAAAAATTTCCTCACGTTTTCTGGTATGAGGTTTTCTTTCTTTTGGTTAATCAAGTAAAAATAAGATTGTTCTAAAATCTTGATGGATTTTGCAAATCAAAACCACAATGAGACACCATCTAACACCAGTGAGAATGGCTTGTATCAAGAAATCCCAAAACAACAAATGCTGGCAAGGATGTTGAGAGACAGGAGCACTCCTACATTGCTGGTGGGACTGCAAATTAGTGCAACCTCTGTGGAAAAGAATTTGGAGATACCTCAAACAGCTAGATATAGGAATACCATTCGACCTAGCAATAGCATTGTTGGGCATCTACCCAAAAGAGCATAAGACATTCTACTACAAAGACATCTGCACCCAAATGTTTATGGCAGCACAATTCACTATTGCAAGATCATGGAAACAACCGAAATGTCTGTTCATTCATGAGTGGATAATTAAAATTTGGTATATGCTCACAATGGAATACTACTCAATTTTAAGAAATGACAGTGAGCTAGCACTGTTTATGCTATCCTGCATTAAGCTTAAGCCCGTTATCCAAAGTGAGATGACACAAAATCAAGAAAACAGGCTCCACATCTACTCGCCATCAAATTGGTACTGGCTGATTAAAACTATGGTGCTCAAATGATGATAGTGCCCACTAGGGTTTGGGGGAGGGGGAGATACACATCTTAGGGTTGTGGCGAGCATTGTGTGTAGGGGGAGGGAATACCTCTAACCCTTCCTAGGGAAAGGCAAAGATATACAATGCAACCCAAAGGTCAAAAAAAGAAAAAAAAAAACAAAACAATTATCGGGTGGTGGGCAGATGGGAGGGGCAGGAGGGGAAGAATTTATACTTACAAAATAGGTGCGATGCGCACCACCTGGGGGTAGGACACGCTTGATGTTTTGGTAAGGCAGGGGGTGGGGGGAGGAATGGCAGGGGCAATATATGTAACCCTAACAATATTTCTACCCCCATAATATGATAAAATAAAATAAATAAAAAAATAAATAAAAATCTTGATGGATTTTGAATTTTGATTCAGATAAAGGACTATTTCTCTTTTTCTTTCTTTTATTTTTGAGACAGAGTCTTGCTTTGTTGCCCAGGCTAGTGTGAGTGCCGTGGTGTCAGCCTAGCTCACAGTAACCTCAAACTCCTGGGCTCAAGCAATCCTACTGCCTCAGCCTCCAGAGTAGCTGGGACTACAGGCATGCGCCACCATGCCCGGTTGATTTTTTTCTCTATATATTAGTTGGTCAATTAATTTCTTTCTATTTATAGTAGAGACGGAGTCTTGCTCTTGCTCAGGCTGGTTTCAAACTCCTGACCTCGAGCAATCCGCCCGCCTTGGCCTCCTAGAGTGCTAGGATTACAGGCGTGAGCTACTGTGCCCGGCCAGATAAAGGACTATTTCTGATAGCTCAATATTAAAACTCATTTTCAATTGTATTAGAAGGTGAAATAACGAAAGCTTACATCCTGGCTTTTTTTTTTTAAATGCTAAGAATGTTTGTATTTTGTTTATTTCTACAGATGGATTATGATGGCACTGTTACTATAGAGGAGCAGATTGTCCTTGTGCTAAAAGCTAAAGTGCAATGTGAACTCAACATCACAGCTCAACCCCAGGAGGGAGGTAAAGTGTCTCCTTCTCCCAAAGACTGCAAGTTTCCATCTTTATTTTGTGTTAGGAAGGTCCTTGTTGGTGATTCCATGTTTCCATGTGGAGAGATATGTAGCAGAATAACACTCTTTTAATCCCTTTATCCCACTTGTTCATCTCTCCCTATGGAAGGAGTGGGACTTGCTCCATTACTGAATTTGGGAATAGCAATTGAGCATGTGGACATCAGCCTCTTCCTCAGAGCTCTCCTTGGGATTTGTCTGCCTGTAGAAAGTATGCATACTGGTCTTCTCTTGACCATGCAGTTAAGTCCAGAGGGGCAGGCTCTACCCTGTGGATATTGCCTGCAGATTTAGGTAGCAAGTTTAATTCAGAGCAGTAAATAAGCAAGCCCACACCTAAGCCATATTCTCAAAAAACCTTTTTTTTTGTTGTTGTTGATCAAATGATAATTTTATCTCCATTGGCCTGACTATGAAATCTCTCAATTAGTTCCAAATTCAAGTGAGAAGTGGTTGTTCACTGAGCTCTCTGAATTCCCTACTAAATGCAGTAATGTTCCTGAAGTTACATCCCTATAATAAAATATGCAGTTTGATATCTGCTTCATACTAGTCTCTAAATACTAAAAAAAAATTATGATTGATTTCTCAATTGGTTATGATCAGAGAATCTAGTCTGCATGATACTGATTTTTAAAAATATATTGAGACTTAATGGCTTGTATTGTAGTCAATTTTGATAAATGTTCCATACAGCCTTCAAAGGAATGTATGCTTTCCAGTTTCTGAGTATAGTGTTTTATAGTGTCCATTAGATTAAGCTTATTAGTTGTGTGGTTCATATATTCTGTATGCATAATGATTTTTTATGTGCTTGACCTTTTATTTACTGAGATATGTATCTTAAAATATCCTACTATGATGATGAATTTGTCAATTTTTTATTGACAATATTTTTATTGACAATATGAAGACAGTATTTTTACTTCATATATTTTGAAAATATGTTACTAGGTTTATACAAGTTTAGCAGTAGTATATTTCTTGGTGAATTCAGCATTTTGTTGATATGAAATAGCCCTCTCTAGGATACTTTTGTTTTAAATATTAAAAAGTATATAATTTTAACTTATTATATTAAAAATAAAACTATCGAATAAATAATACTAGTTTCTTTCTCCGTTGGTTAGTATTTGCCTTGTCTGTCTTTTCCAATCCTTTAAAGATGTTTTAATTGTGATAAAATACACATAACATTAAATTTACCATCTTATCTATTTTTAATTATACTGTTCAATATTGGTAAGTATATTTACATTGTTGTGCAACCAATATCCATTAAACAACAACTCCTAATATTTTCCCATTCTTTTATTAAACTTTTCTGTATATTTATGTTTCAGGAGTATCTTTTATAAACAGGACATGGGGACCTTTTCTTGTTATCTATTCTGACAATCTTTGTCAATTATTAATAACTGGAGAGTTTAGCCTAATTACATTAATTATGATTACTAAAATACAGTTTTGTTTTGTTTCTTTGAGACAAGGTCTCACTCTACCACCTTTGCTGGCGTGCACTGGTGTGATCATAGCTCATTGCAGCCTTGAACTCCTGGGCTCAAGCAATCCTTCTGCCTCAGCCTCCCAAGTAGCTGGGACTACAGATGCATGCCACCATGCCCAGCTGATTTTTAATTTTTTGTAGAGATAGAGTCTTACTATGTTGACCTGGTTGGTCTTGAATTCCTGGCCTCAAGCAATACTCCCACCTCAACCTCCCAAAGTGCTGGGATTACAGCTGTGAGCTACCACAGCTAGACTACAGTATTTAAATTTAATTCTACTATCTTATTTGGGCTTCCCATTTCATTTGCCAGCTCTTTTTATGTTTCTCTTCAACTCCCTTCATGCCAACTTTCTTTTGGATTGATTGAGACTTTTCCTTATTTCATTCCCCCTTTCCCTGCCAACTAGTTTGGAAGGTATATATTTAATTCTTTTAGTGGTTATCCTACATTTTTATATGTATTTAATTTAAGAAAATTTAAAGTTTATAGATAAATTCCTCCTTCCAAAATATATGAGCAGTTTGAGATGCTTTAATTGCTTCCAAATTATATGCTATTGTCCTACAAGGTTTTAGTTTTACCTTAATTTTATGTTATAATTTTTCTTCTTTCTGAAATACATCTTTTATTTATTTATTTTTTTTTAAAAAAATTTCTTTACATTAGAATGTACTTGTAGTGCTCTCAGGTTTTTTTTTTTTTTTTGTCTGAAAAATGTCTTTATTTCAGTCTCAATTGTGAAAAATACTTCTGGTCTTATGAACTGTGGTTAAAAATTATTTACTTTTATCACCTGAATATATTATTGCATTTTTTCCTAATTTGCATATATATTATTGATAAATCAGTTCTTAGTCTTTGTTGCTGATTAGCTTTTTCTCTCTGGCTCTTTTTAAGAACTTCTCTTTGATTTTGATATTCTGCATTTTTACTCTGTATCTTGGTATAGATGCATTGGATTTCCTGAATCTGAAGATCTGTGATGGAAATGTTATTTTGTCTTTAAAATTTGCTCTCCTTCATTCTGTCTGTTATCTCCTCCTGGAACTTTAAATAGACAAATGTGAGACCTTCTCATACTACCCTTTGTGTGTCCATGTCTTATATATTTTCTTTTCCTTTGTTCTACTGCTGTTGTGGTAATTTATTCAAATCTATTTTCTAGTTTTGCAACTCTTTGTTCAGCTTTGTCTAACAGCTGTTTAATCCATCCATGAATTCATTTTGATTATTCTTCTTATTTTCTGAAATCTACATATTGAATTGATAGTCCCTTATACTTTCAATATTCTTTGAATGTCTTCTTATATTCCTAGACATGTTTTGTATTCTGCTTTTGATAATTCTAATATCCACAGACTTTTCTGGTAAATGCTCACTACCACATATGGTGGCTTATTTCCTTACATGTCTAATGATTTATGATGAGCAACTTATAAAGTCCTCATTTAAAGTGCATTCATCCAGAGAAAATTTGTGTTTCCTTCTGCAAGATGTCAAGAGGAACTATTGATCTAAGTCCACATTAAACTAAATTTATACTACACAGGAGTGTGGGTTTGTGGTTAGAAATTTTTAGAGAAGAAGAATTTCCCCACTGTTTCCTATTCCAACCCTAAATGTAGCCAAAAGTGAAACAAGGCAATCTCTCTATGAGGGACGGTTTCTTTTCTTGTCCACCTACTAAGGGGGGATCATTTTTTAGGAATACTGACCTTATATAGGTGTTTCCTGTCCAATTTCCCAAACTCATCAGGCCTCAGGCTCATCTTTTGTTACCTGGACATCATCAAAACCCTAGCTTTAAGGCAACAGATCAGTAGAGGCCTCTAAGGTAAGCCCCAAATGTAGTGTTTTCCCTGTATTTCTGGCCCAGATTTATTCCTTTACTTTATAGACAGCTAAGTCATGTTTAAGAAAGAATATTTTTTATATTAATCCAGCCTTTGTAGGTGTCTTGTACTAAGAGGGAGTTTTTTGAATGGCTAGTCTAATAATGTCTGAAAAGGGAATCACACATGCTACCTCTAAAGAACACTGTCCTTGATCTCTCAGATATGCAAGTCTGCTAAGAAGAAGAAGCATCACCATGAAGGAATTTGGAAGGATTATTATCTATGAGGGATTAATGAACTATTTTCCATTAAATCTCATGAAATTTTGAGCTGGAAGATATCTCAGAGATTACCTTGTCCAATATTGTCATCTTCAGTATTCCTATAACAGTTCAACAAATATTTTTATGTTCCCACAATGTGCTGATTCTGTAGTAAGCACTGAAAAACATGAATAAAATTCTCTCTTTGCCCTGTGGGGTTGATGATTTGGTAAGGAAGGTAGACATCTTCCAGGATGGTGTGTGATTCCAACAACAGAGGTATTCAAAACTATGGAACCATTGAAGAAGCATCTTAATTAACCAGGGAGGGATCAGGGAAAGCTTCCTGGAAGAATAATCATCTCATCTTAAAATTACAGTAGTAACAACATGGTATTGATGTAAAGTTAGAGACATAGGTCAATGGAACAGAATAGAGAACCCAGAAATAGAATCATATAGCCATGACCAACTGATTTTTGACAAAGCAGACAAAAACATACCCTGGAAAAAGTACACCCTATTCAACAAATGGTGCTGGGAAAATTGGATAGCTGCATGCAGAAGAATTAAAAAAGATCTTTACCACTTGCTTTATACAGAAATTAATTCAAGATGGATTAAAACTTAAATGTAAGGCATGAAACCACAAAAATTATAGAAGAAACTATAGGAAAAACTCTTCTAGACATGAGCCTAAGCAAAGAATTTATAACTAAGACCTCAATAGCAAATACAGTAACAACAAAAATAAATAAATGAGACTTAATTAAATTAAAAAGTTTCTGCATGGCAAGAGTTATAACCCACATAGTAAATAGACAACCTATAGAATGGGAGAAAATATTTGCAAACTATGCATCTGACAAAGGACTAATATCTAGAATCCACAAAGAACTCAAACAAATCAGCAAGAAAAAACAAGCAATCCCATTAGAAAGTGGGCAAAGGATCAGAACAAAAGAAAATAGACAAATGACCAACAAACATATGAAAAAATGCTCAACATCACTAATCATTACAGAAATGCAGTATTTCTGCATTGAAACCACAATGAGCTACCAAAATTTAAACCACAATCAGAAGAACCATTATTAAAAAAATCTTACCCCTATCAGAAGAACCATTATTAAAAAAATCAAAGAACAATAGATGTTGGGGTGGATATGGTAAAAAAGGAACATTTATACACCATTGGTTGGACTGAAAATTAGCACAGCCTCTATGGAAAACAGTATGGAGATTCCTCAAAGAACTAACAGTAGACCTACCATTCAATCCAGCAGTCCCACTACTGGGTATCTACCCAAAAGAAAAGAAGTCATTTTATAAAAACAACAC